GTAGGGCAGCAATTTTGAACTTAACACATCTCTGTATATGTTGAAATAGTACCTTGTCATTAAAAGTAGTTGTAGAAGATAGGGATAGGTATATTCAATACCTTTGAAGGAAGGTATAATCACAATCTTCAACAGACTAACCTGATAATCATATATGCACAACTAAGTATATTTAAGGTGTGTCTACTGAGTTTAATAACAGTGTTACAGGAAATAATTTACATATAAGTCTCAGACATTAGTTATTAGAAGCAGAATAAATGATAGTTCAGAATATCAGGCTCCAGAGGTAAACTCCCCAGGTTCCAAAGCTGGCTTCCGCATACTCGTCTTGTGACCTCAGGACTGCTCTCTCAGTGACTCCCTTCCTCGTCTCTGAAATGAGGATAATCCTAGTAAAGATCTCATAGGTTTGTTACAGGTTTTTAAAAAAATAATACTTATAAAGCACTTTATAATCAATTGTCTATGAATGATGGCTATTACTAGTATGAGTACAATTTCTGTTAAGGAAATATTAGGCTAAATAATTTTGAAGGCCTTAGGCTCATCAGTGCCAAGATTTGATTATGATTATGTGCCTGTGTGTAATCAGCATATGCCCCTTTTCAAGTTCTAAGGCAATGAATGATTTATAGACTGCTCTTTGAGCCAGCTGCTGCTAAATGCTGCTCCCGAACCTTAGGTTGTTTATAATGCAGCAGTTTGGTCATCAGGTAAATACACATTTGCAAATCCATTCATTAAATATTTATAAGTAGCTACAAAGCAATGAGCTAAATGACTGTCCTCAATCAAACCCAATTTTTTAAATATAACAATAACTAGCTTTTAATATTCATCATTAGTTCTTGTCTATATAACCATCAAGAGCAATTGCTGTATCATTAATGGTAATCCTCAGAAATAAGCTAAATTTCTATTGTCCTACATATAGGAACTTCCTAATCTCCTAAAATGGTATTAATAACTGACTTATTCTTTAACTTTCTGTATTTCAGACCTCCATTTCTGCTTCCTTCTGCTTAAACAAGGCACATGGCAGCCAAATCTTTTGTTGGGTATTAAGATGGACTAAACTGAGCTATAGTCTCATTGATGGCAAAAGTAACTGATTTAATTCTACAGCTTTCTTGAGCCTTTTGATAGAAACTAAAATCAAATATGAAAATAAAAATTTTAATGTAGACTTTTCCCTTTCCTCCCATGACTCTTCTGCTGAATCAGAGGATATTGTAGGTAGGAACTAGCTCCTATATCCTTCCTCTGCAGGTCTCCTCGTTGCTTGGGGCAGGACAGTTTAAGGGTTTCAGTTTGACAAGGTCTAGAAACCAACCACACCTGACCCCTCTTCTTTATTGTCACAGTTCATATATTTTAAGCATACACGCTTTATAGAACCAATATAGCACTCTTCATTCTCTCTTGACAAATAAACCTTTGTATAAACGTTTCTTTTTTCTTTCCTTTTGATAATTTTGATATCGAAGATCACGAACTTAGAAGAACAGTTAGAGCAGTTCAGAGAAGAACTGGAAAATAAGAATGAAGAAGTTCAGCAACTACATATGCAATTAGAAATACAGAAAAAAGAATCTACCACCCGCCTACAAGAACTTGAACAAGAAAACAAATTATTTAAGGTGATTAGTTAAGCAAAACTTTGCCTATAAACAGCTCATCGTTTTTGTCTTGTGTAAGCCTTAGTATTAAGCATTTGCTAAACCCAGCTGCCAACTAGTGCTTAACAGGAACATGGGCTGCAAATGGATTTGCGTGGAACTTATTTTAAGCCAATGTAAACATTTGAATTTATCATAAATGAAAAAAATTTGAGATCTTTTATCAAAATATTTTAAGAATTATTGATTTACAATAACTGTATGATATCTCTGATTTTTTTTACTTGTGTATTTTGGGTACTATATCTTTTGTAAGAGTTACTTGAAAGAAGTTTACAAATCACATGTAATGATCTGTCCAACTGGGATGGTTATTTTTAACCCTAGGATGAAATGGAGAAATTGGGATTTGCTATAAAGGAAACTGATACTATCTCTACTCAGGACCAACATGTGTTATTTGGGAAATTTTCCCAAATAATGCAAGAAAAAGAAGTAGAAATTGACCAGTTGAATGAGCAAATTACAAAACTTCAGCATCAACTTAATATTACAACAGATAACAAGGTACACTAATTTAAAATTGATTATTACATGAAATTAATTTTAGCTAGAATTTTGAAGGGCAGAGCGGTGATTTTTCAGTTTCTCTTTGAATGTAAAATGCAAATAAACCTTAATTCTCTTTTACCCATTAATTTTAACAAACTATGTATATTTTTATCTCCTTCTATTATTGTCAAAGATTTTTGATGTTTTGCAGGGAGCCTCTGGTGATTTAGATTTCATCATATAATTCTAACCAAACCTATTAAAAATTCTTCTGTTTAGTATGAGTTAAATAAGATAATGACATTGGGTGCCATCTGCTATAAACTGTTTTTATTTCAATACTTCATCCTTTTTAATTAGAATGTATTGATACTGACTATTTTACTTATAGGAAATCAGCTACTAAAAGTGTAAATCACTTTAACAGAACTTTCTGAATGAAGTTCTAAATAAAGTCCTTGTTTGATATGATAGGGGACTGTTGGTCTATATTAAAATTAATGTAGTGTATCTAAAAGGTATATTATTTTGTGTGATGAACACTTGAAGATCCTGCCCAAAATAAAATAAAATTCCCAAAATATAAATACACATTTATTATGTATATTATTCTTTTTTCATTAACTAATAGATTATTGAAGAAAAAAATGAACTGATAAGGGATCTTGAAATGCAAATAGAATGTATGATGAGTGATCAAGAACGTGTGAAGAAAAATAGAGAAGAAGAAATTGAGCAGCTCAATGAGGTGATTGAAAAACTTCAACAGGAATTGGCAAATATTGAACAGAAGATATCAATGGATGCTAATTCTCTCCCAGAAGAAGCAGATAGTTTAAAACATCAGTTGGATATGGTAATAGCTGAAAAACTGGCTTTGGAACAGCAAGTAGAAACCACTAATGAAGAAATGGCCTTTATAAAAAATGTACTTCAAGAAACCAATTTTAAAATGAGCCAGCTAACAAAAGAATTATGCAGCTTAAAGAAAGAACAGGAAAATCGGGAACAAATCCAAAGTGTACCAGAGAAAAGTGTTAACATGGTTATAGATTATCTAAGCAAAAAGAAACCTGAACTAGAAGTTGTCTGTACTGAGGATGCTGTCAAACCCCTAGAAAATCAGACTGACTTCCAATCTTTTGAAGAAAACAGTAAAGATTCCATCAACATTTTGGAGACAAAGGTGCTACATCTAGAGAGCACTGTGAGTGCAAAGAACTTAGAACTTACCCAGTGTTATAAGCAAATAAAGGACATTCAAGAGCAAGCCCAGGCTGAAACAGAAATGCTTAAAAAGAAGATTGTAAACCTCCAGAATACACTTGAGGAAAACGTTGCTGCTGCCCTTGTGAGTCAGGTCCAACTTGAAGCAGTTAAGGAATATGCACAACTCTGTCAAGGTAAACAGGCAAGTTCATCAGAGCCTGAAAGAACAAATATACAGAATTTAAATCCACTCACAGAAAAAGAGATGGAGTCGAATGTTTCAACATTTACCTTGAGAATATCAGAATTAGAAAGACAGGTGGCTGAAATGCAGACTAGTTTGATTTTAGAAAAAGAACAAGTAGAAATTGCAGAGAAAAATGCTGTGGAAAAAGAAAAGCAGCTACGAGAGCTACAGAAGCTATTGGAAGATAGTGAGAGT